TCATCACGAGTAATACTGAGACGATAATATCTTAGAATCTTGAAACGAAGATATATGAGTTGTAATTTACAAGTCGGTCATGCATTGGTGATACGAAAACGCATCAGTAACTTGGTGTTATAAAACGTATTGTCATGTATAATTTGATGAATAAAATATACAAGCATATGAGTCAACGTTTATTCGTTCCTTTTGCCCTAACCGGAAAAGCGATATCTGTGGGCCCCTCGATGATTTGGTGTTGACTTATGTGTTGGGCCCAGCCAGGACTAAATTGATGTGTTCGATTAGAAGTCCTACATCATCACAAATCAGAAATCGGGAAACATAGATTCTGGACAAAGAGATTGATTACATTCCATGTCTTATGTCTAGGGATATCTAGCAGAACGAAGGATTATATGATCGCTTATCTTAGGACACGTAACTGACTGGGTCAGAGTTCGGCAGCAGCTTTTGGAAGCTACAATTTGCTGGTCAAATTTAGAAGGCATACTAGCAATTATAGTTACAGACTTATCCAATTGGGAGACTGTTGGATTAGGTGTCTAAGCCCATAACTATAATTGGTATGTACTTGAATTGATAGCAGCACAGTCCTTTTGGGTTGCCCTCAACCTAGCAACTGGACAAGGAAATTATGAAAGGAGAGATATTAATTTATAAGATTAATAAATTAATATATAAATGATTTATTAATATGTTAATAGATTAATATATTAATTAGAAATCATTATGTTTAATTAATAGTTAGCCAGAAATTAATCAGAATTAATTTTGGGGTTAAAAGTATTAATTATAAAGTGCAGGGACTAGTTTGCAATTATCTAATAGTTGAGTGGAAGGCTCTAGAACCTCCTTGGAAGGAGGTGGACGAAATCTATAGGGGAAACTCTAAGGATTTCGTCCAAGGGGGCTTTGGATAAGGCCCTTGGGTTTGCTTAGGCCCTAAGCAAAGGAGCATTAGGGTTTTCCCAAAACCCTAGATCCCTCAGCTATATAAGGAGCCTCCCAGCTCTCAAAATCGATCACTCATTCTTTGAAGAAACCCTAGGGCCGAAATTGCATACTCTCTCCACTCTCTCTCCTCCAAGTTTCCTTCTTGCTAGTTCTTGGGTGTGATTCCATTAGAGGCATTACATTTGTGGTGTTAAGCTTCCAAGAAGATCAAGATCAAGATCAAGAGGATTGTCAATTGTTTGCTATAACAATTGAAAGGTATGTAACTCTTAAACCCTAGTTTGTTAATTTCGAAATTAGCCTCTCTCCTCTAGGGTTCTTGTTTTGCAATTCAAAGTTGTATGTTCAATAGTTAAAACATAGATCCAAAGTAGGTTGCATGTGAACTTAGGAATTGTTTCTTGGTTTATTTGTTTTACCTAAAACCTATCAGTATGTGCTTACTTGAGTTATGCATTTTGTTGTGTGATATTTATGCTATATTATGTGATACTTAGACCGGACCGGAGGGTCCAACGAACTATGAGGCCGGAGGGTCCTCACTTAGACCGGACCAGAGGGTCCAATGAGCTGTGGGACTAAAGGGTCCCACTGAGACACATTGACCGGATGGTCTTACAGAGCTATAGCCTCGAGTGGTTAATTATTTGTGCGTGGTATTTTGGGGAACTCACTAAGCTTTATGCTTACCGTGTTATGTGTTATGTGTTTCAGGTACTTCTGAGGATCGCGGGAAGGCACCGACGTGATTGTACACACCTGTTCGAGATTACGTTGAGGATTCTGGGAATTGACTTTTGTTGTGGATTTATGTTCACATTGAGACACTTATGATTTTCATGAAATATAATATATGAGTTTTATATGTTTTAAAAATGAAAATTTTGGTTGAAAAATTACGTCGTTACAGTTTATTAGACCGTTTAGGATACTTGATCGTATGGGCAAGGTTGCCTACCGGTTGGATCTGCCCGAGGAGCTCAGTCAGATCCACAATACTTTTCACATTTTTCAGCTGAGAAAGTGCATTACATATACGACACCAGTGTGGTGCCATTAAATGATATTCATGTGGACGAAATCCTGAACTATATGGAAAGGTTGGTCGCAATTTTGGATAGGAAGACAAAGACCTTACGTAACAAGGTGGTTGGTCTGGTGAAGGTGCAGTGGCAACACCATAAGGGTTCGGAGTGGACGTAGGTGGTAGAGGAGGAGATGTGGGGTCATTATCTTGAGTTATTTATAGCAGCGGATTTCAAGGACGAAATTTGATTCAAGTAGGGGAGAATTGTAACATCCGATTTTCAGGTATTCTTGTAAGTTAGAATTTGGAATTTATGAGTTTTAAGGATTTTATCTAGGTGGCGACACCAGTCGTTGAGAGTCATGGCGTGATCTTTAATGAGACTCGCGACACGAAGGGCCTGTTGGGCCAAAACCTAAAAGCCTCGGGATTTGGGCCTATTTTAAGTGCATATTTCCCTAGGGTTTCGTCATTTGCGAGGCTCCACTCCGGAAAACATGATCCTCTTTTCCTCACCCTAGCCTCCTTCATGCCTTGTAACTGCATTTGCTTCTTTGGTGTGAAGTTTTGAAGAAAAAGTGTGCTCTTGGTGATTGATTGAATCAAGCCACTAAAGTTTCTACCTTCTTAGCATCTTACATATCTCTCTAAGTGTCCCAGATTCAATCTTTTTGTCTATTGCATGTTAGATCTAGGCTTGTGGTGATTTTGCTGTCATTTTGGTCCCTTAAACTTGGTGTTCTTGGAGTTTGAAGAGCTCCATAACTCATTAGTGATGTTTTAATGCTTCTGGAACCTTCTTGTTGAATAAAAAGTGTCATACATGTGCTAACCTTGAGCCATGCACTTGGTTTTGCATTTTTGTGAATTCTTGGACATAGGGTTTAGACTTGTGCTTGTTTAGTTTTTGATGATGAATAGAGTTGTAAAATTTATCCATTAGGACCATTATGAGATTCAGATCTAAAGGATTGGACTTTTTGAATTAAGAGATTAAGTCCTTAAAAAGTAGGTTATTAAGCCAGTTTCACGGTGTAACAAGTTTTGGAACTTGCAGCGCAAGATTTAGGCAAAACACGACTATTTTGTTATGTTGTGGTAGTGATACGATGGTTTAATGGTCTCGGCTCGACCGTTGACTTTGACCGGTTTGACTTTTAGTCAAATTAGAGATCTTGAGTTGTAGACTGAGATTTTGCCTCTGATTGGTTAAGCGGTTCGAGTACCTGATTCGTTGGATTTCAAATAGTTGGATTCAGCTTTTTGATTCAGGTGAGTTTTTTCACTATATTATGTAGGACACTAGGATCATTGTATGCTAGACTGGTTGGGTCTTGTTGATTGCTTGTATGCTTACAATTTTTGTTAGGCGAGGCATGTTGGGTTGAAACAGACCTGTCATAGTAACGTATGGATATTTTGTGTTTTGTGTGGTATTTTTGGAAACTTACTAAGTTTTATGCTTACGGTTTGAAGTTTAAAATGTTTCAGGTTGTTCTGGTAGCAAGGGGAGGGGAGCGGTTTGATTGCATTGTATCTGCTGATATTTATATTTATGGAAATTCCGCACCTTTGATTTTTATCATCTTTTGATACTCTTATTTGTTTATGGTTTATCAAACTAAAAACATATGGTTGTTTATTATCTTATGAATGGGATTGGAATATTGGTTTGATTTTAAAAATAAAAAATTTTTGGTTGAAATTTAGGACTTTACAATAACATGAAAGATTTTCATTACGAGGTAGCGTGAAATATTTTAAAAAATCACCCTATTTTTTTAGAATTTAAGTATTTCTTTTAGTTTGTCATTTGTAGTATTTCTTTTCATTTTAATTGTCATTTTAGGATTTAATTTATGTTTTATTTTATTGTGGTTTTTAATGTAAATCTTATGTTTTATTTTATTTAAAATTTTCTAATATAATTAATAATAGTTGTGATTAGTCAAGTGGGTTAGGAAAGATGGGTTCAACACATCAAATTGCTATCAAATGAAGATATATGCAGCGAAAAATAGAAGAATTTAATATTATTTCTACCCACAAAATAAATATTTGGGAGGCCAGAGTTTCCGACGAAGACATGTTTTAAACAACAAAAAATGAGTATTGCGAGCACAATAACATGAAAGATTTTCATTATGAGACGACGTGAAATTTTAAAAAAAAAATCAACCTTCTTTTTTAGAATTTAAATATTTCTTTTAGTTTGTCGTTTGTAGTATATCTTTTCATTTTAATTGTCGTTTTATGATTTAATTTATGTTTTATTTTATTATGGTTTTTAAGTAAAATCTTATGTTTTATTTTCTTTTTAATTTTCTAATTTAACTACTAATCATAGTGACGTGGCAAGTGAGTTAGGAAAAATAGGTTTTTATGTGTTGTAGGTTGAAAAATATAGAAGAAAAAAGAAAAAAAAAAAAAACTGATATGGCAAATGGATTGAGTGGATCCACCCTAAATGCCCTCACCTCTTCTGCCATCACCGTTCTTGGCTACCACCACCACCACTTACAACCCGTCGTCATCAACACCTTCACCACCACCCACCGCTTCCTCTTTTTCTCTCCCTCCCTTTATGTGTGTCTTCAAGTACTCATTGTAGCTTCACCACCGTTGTACCATGTCAACTCCAAAGTCACCTCCAAACTTCATTGATACCACCATTATAGATCTATGCCGGTGATCTATATATGCGACCATCATTCTAATTCTGAAAATAAATATCCTTTTATCAAATCATTAACTAATATTTTTTTATTTTCTTGGGGTTCATTTATTAATGTTTTAATTAGTTTTACCTCAAAGTTAGTAAAATTAAGATAGCACCAGATCTTCGTTTTATTTTCCCTTCATTTATTGATTTTTTACTTCAAAAAATTTTATGTAGATGAAGACGTGGTTGTATAAAGCTTGCATTACTTGTTAACCTGAGATGGAAGATGAAGATAAGGATATAGACTAACTTTTTGAGTTCATTTTTCGTTAATTTCCATAGTAGATTTTAATCCTTTCTTTTCTCTCCCAAACCATTTCTCACACTGCACTATCAACATTTCAAACATGAACAATGCCACACAAAATCTAAACATTTCTCACACTACACTATCAACATTTCAAGATTCTAATCTCCAGTTACAAAAAAACTGGTGTAGATCATAAACAAATCAAATTCCATATATTTACAAAATAATATGCCAGCTGTTTTTGCTGCTCAAGCCAGCTGCAGCTGTTTTTGCTTTGACTTAGATTCTGCTACCTTCCCATGTATCTTCTCATACTCCTGTTTAAGTTCCTCCAAACGCTTCGATACCTTAAAACATCACAAACATATAAAAATTATAAACACTTCATTAAAAAAAATGTATAATAAGTACCTTAAATGAGTAGGCCAATGGAAGCAATGTATCTGGATTCATTGCATCATCAGGGAAGTTACGAAGAGCATGTATAAGTTTCTCAAATGGTAATTCCACCTAAAAAAACAACACCATTTTAGCAAAAATAAAAATATATTATTTTCCAAACTGTAACAAGCCACTCACCAAGTCATCATGGCAATATTTGAGTAGAGCTAATCCAACTTTGAAAACAATCTTAACACCCTGAACATACAAAAGCTAGTTACTTTATATTATATTTCCTTTTTCGAAAGAAAATTACATAAATGCCACTGACACTGACACTGACCTCGTAAAGAAAAACATCCCAAATTCGAAGAGCGAGATGAAAAGGGAAAGAATATGAGAAAACAGTAATAAACCACTGGCTTCCATACATGCTTGGATTTATCATTTCTTCTGTAAAATGTTCGCCTAATTTTGGCATATACTCCCTCATTAAACGATCAAACTGAAATAAATATTGTTGAACCAGTGGCAATCCCTCCTGCATGTAGTCCAATACCAATACCACAAAACTTAAGAATACCATATAGTTGCAGATTGAGTCAGATCTGATTGAGTCAATGCCTGATTGAGCCTCTTACCAGATCCTAGTAAGAGGCATATCAAACAGCCCCTAATTATTTATTTATTAATATAATTTAGTAAACAGGAAGTGAAGTTACCAAATATAATCCTTCCATTGGAGCATGAACAGCTCCTTTGAGTAATGCCACCACTAGCCAAAATGCATCTTCTTCACTCATGTAAAGCAGCAAAAGCCCAGCTAAATATCCCATTCCCTGAATGAAAAATTTAAACCATTTTGTGAGTCTTGTCAAAAATGGCTAGAGATGAAATGTAAAGTAATGTGAATTTGTGAATCACCTGTACATATCCGACCTCCCTGTCGTACACAGAGTAGGCCTTTAAAACATTGTAAAGTGATCTTTGACCAGGTCCATGTCGTTGTTGGTAGAACACATGTGAAGGAAAAGTACGCGATATATCCCGTATTATATCTAACTCAGAAGCTGATGTCTCATATATCACTAGTTGCTAAAGAAGAAGAAGAAAATAAGACCTTAAGTTGTAAGAAGGAAAAATAGAAGAAGATTTGAGGAAATTAGAGAAATAGAATACTTCGTAAACACCAGGGTTCATGAGCAAGAGGTCCCGGCTTCCAGAAATCAATTGCCAAACAAGACCCCTCAAACAATCAGGGATTCCTTTTCGTATACGCCTTTTAACAACGTGTGGTTTCCTTCTTACATAATGCTTCCAATCACTACCTCCAACACCAATCATTTTCCTCCATTTTCTCACTCGTTTCTGTTCCCTGTTTTAAATTAATTTGTATCTATCTATCAGTTTTAAACGTAGCACGTGTTGCAACAGATTGTTTTTTATTCATATTTTCAATACAACAAACTACCTAATCATTATTGAACAATATCATTTTTTATATGAACAAGATCAAGGTTGTGTTTGGCACACCACAGGTAGCTTATTTTTCGCGCTTTTTTAAGTTGTCATGTTTAGTAAGCCAAAAAGTAGCTTTTTAAAAAGCTACTTAGGTTATGTTTGGCGTACTAGCTGAAAAGCTAGCTGATAAAAAATGACGTTTGATAAAACTAGCTGATAAGCTAGCTAAAATATATAAAATGACATAAATAGGCATCTAAAAGAATATGTTTTTTTATAAATACTTAAGGGTATATTTGTAAAATTTTAAAAAGCTCATGAAAAGCTAGTCTAAGTAGCTTTTTAAAAAAGCTAGCTTATAAGCTGCTTTTTGGTTTGCCAAACATGACAACTTAAAAAAACTCAAAAAATAAGCTAGCTTATCAGCTGGCTGTGGCGCAACACAACCTTAGACTAGCTTTTTAGGAGCTTTTTTTAAATTTCCCAAAAATACCTTTAATTAATTATAAAAAAACATATTCTTCTAAATATCATTTTATATCTTCCAGTAACTTTTTACAAAACATCATTTTTTATCAGCTAGCTTTTCAGCTAACAGATAGTTTTTCAGCTAATATGTCAAACATAGCCCAAGATGGAATCTAAGATTAACATGTATTACCTCTGATACTCCAAAGCCGACTTGTTTTTGGGGGCCCCATCGGGGGAGAGTGAGTTATGTTCCTGTTTTACGAACCCAAATCTGTCTAATCTTCCTGGAGCTGCTGACACTTGCACACTTTCATCTGCTCTTTTCTTCTCCATATTTTAATTCAAACTAAACCTTGACAACACCATTTCCCTAATAATCACACAAAAACCTTCATAAAAAAACACACAACCTTGCATTCGACAGCTTAAATCAATTCTCACAAATCCTTTGGTGACATCAAATGTCAGCTACTTCCCAAATTATAATAAAACAGAAGAACAAATATCTGATTCATATCTTTAAGGCTTAAATCATGTGATCCTACGTTATTATTACCATTATAACAAAGACTTCATGGCTCATTATATTTTAAAGTAGAATGCTAGCATGAGTATATTATGAAACTACAATGCTGTACACTACCTAAAACTCCAAAATTATGTATCCAGATTAGCCAAATAAGACAGATGGAAGGAAATAATTCATCATCAACTGGAGTAACATTTCTCAGAAGACCCTTATAAATGATTACTACAACATACCTTATTTCAAAAATCATATATCCCTTCCCATTAGCCACTCATGTTAAATTGAAAGAAGAAACACGTTAAAGATTAGATTTTCAAAACTTGATTAGTTCCTAACAGATTATGAAAGTAATTAAGTATTTAACAGATTCCAGTAACAAATTTATATAAAATTAGGAAAGTAAATTCTTCATCAGAAACAATAAGACTGTTCGAAATCCAGTCTATTATTTTAATCCTTGAGAACATACAAAATCCTAGACTAAAAATTATCACGCTGCCAGAAAAGAAAATTGCTCACCGGAAATATTCAGCCAGCGCCGGAAGCAGGAGTGCTCACGTCCGCCGGATTTTTCACCAAAATATAGATAGCAGCGGTGGAGATCGGAGTGCTCAACTCCGAACAACGACCTCCGGCAAGCGATTTCTGTTTCTCCGGTAAGACTTACGCCGAAATGCAAATCGGGCCAGCGAGACAGTAATCTCTGTTGCCGGTGCTCTGTATCTCCCTACTCCACCGGATCTGTATGTTAACGACTCTTTCTCTCTCTCCTTTTCTCTTCAGCCAACGCGTTCTAAAAAAAATTAAAAATAAAATAAAATTAAAAATTAAAAAGATAAAGTTTAGGACCTCTCTCACGTTTTTATTTCAGTCACTTATTCTATTTTTTTCTTTTAACCCACTATATAATAGAGTCTTTAAAAACTTAAAAAATCAAATTCATATCTAAACGATAATTCATATTATTAAATTATTTTAATTAGATTCCTAAAAAACCATAGATTGATATAAATAATTAATTATACTTTATAACAAAAAAATCATTTAACTAATTACTCTTATTTCTTATTTGTGTAGATCAATTCGTTAGTAAAAAGGCTATAAATCTATAATGATATGTAACTAAGCTTACTTAAATTAATAATAAATAAATGATATATTTAAAAATAATAGGCAAATTAATTCAATAAAATTAGTTCTATCTAATTTAAAAAAGACGGTTTAGATACAAATTTTATAAAATAAAACTATTTACTTAATTATTCGAGTAACTTGCTTAACCTTTTATATTAAACATATGTTATAATAAACTAATTGATCTGTAGCTTTATTTAAAAACACTATAATCAATTTAGTTTAATTTGTAATTTAGCTTGAAATTTTATTAATATTTTATAAAAGGATGTTTTTAATGCCGTTCCAAAAAAAAGATGTTTATAATCATATAAAGGACACAAAAAGTTAATATCCCAACAAATTATTCTACCAAAGCTTTGGACTTCTACTTGATTACATATTATTTACATATTTGTCCGATCGTTTTATCATCACTTTACCAATTGAAAACCGTAGAATTCAACCGGCCCTTTCGAGTTTCAATAATGGTGTGATGGATGCTAATATACTTAAGATTGACATCGAAACAACATATGGTACATATTAGTTCTTTATTTATTTAAATCCCTTTTTAAGCTAGGTACTTGATTTATGTTATTATTATAAGAAAATCCTTGGATAAACATTTTTTATGGTGGGGATTTAAATACCCTAGAAGACAACATGTAAATGGTAAAATTGAATTTTCTAATCTTACTTGGTTGACTAGGACAAGTTTTCCATTCACGATCTTGATGATATGGATGAACATGATTACCTTCGGCTAAGATTTTGTATATATTATCACTTTAAGATTCCATTTAGTGATTTAGTCTTTGGGTTTTCATTCTTGAATGTGCTTCACTTGAAAACATATGTTGCTAATCATAAAATCATACAAGTTTATATTGGACATGGATATTTTAATGATTTTAATCCTTTGGAGGAGAGTGAATTGGAAGTAGATGAGACATTGAAATCTCCCCAGCATCTCTTTCTTTCTTTATTTTTTTTAATTTATTATTAATTCATATATATGTTAGTAAAAATATATATATCAAAATTCATAATTTTTAATTCCTTATAATTAAAGTATAATATTTCATTATTTTTATATATATTTGAATACTAAAAAAAGTGAGTGAGAGGTGATCATTTCCTATCAATGAGAGGAGTGAATGTAGAATGAAGGGAAGATGACATGATTGATCATCACTTTACAAAAACCAAAAACAAGAAACTTCATTAGATATGTGCTCATAGTTCGCAAACATCAGGATGATACATGACACATGATACATGACACATGACACATCCGAGGGGTTAGCATCATCTTAGTTTCTAAAATCTCTCAAGGAGTTGTGTTACAATTTTTAGCATCATATATTATCTTCTTTATCTTCTTCATCTTCAACCCATAATATACATAATCAATTAGTCCCCAGAAATATACTTCCTCTCTTCATAAAATTTCTTCTCACTAGCTTCCTTCTTTTCATTTCGCTTCTGAAAACTCAAACCCTATTTCAGTCCAAAACTTCCAATCAACCATTTTAAATACATATAAAAACATAAAACATACCTCGTATATCTCATGATTGGCTTTTATTCTTTGAGCTACCGAAGTGGTTGTGATGTTTTTTGGGCTTTCCAGAATCCTGAAAATGCCCATGCTTTTGGGAACCGAGTAAGGATCCACCATCCCCTGTGGTAATAATCAACACAAGGGTATATTAGTCTTTTTGTGTTTGTTTGTTAAAAGGAGTTCATCTTCATCTTCATCTTACATTGAGAGTAGATTCACTTTCGGAAACAGTTCCATGCACAACCGTAGAGATGTTAAAAGTCGCAATCTGGCCATGCATTTTAAAAAAAAAAAAATGTAAACTTTTGTTGATTTGATTAAATATATAGTTTTAATATATTTATTTCATATCCAAAAAAAAGGGAACTAAATGTAATAATACCATGTCTTTTGTGATTTCCCAGGGAGCACCAATGATGACTTCATCAACATATCGACAAGCCAAAACACTGAGACTGCGTTCATGCAAATGCATTAATGGGAAATGAGCCCCTCGTTGTTGGCTGCATCAAATCACATATCACAAACAGAAGGGTAAAATCGTCATTTACTCACACTCAAATTTCTTCAAATAGTTTTTAAACATCGATTTATCCAAACAGAACTTAATAATGGTTTTGAATATTACCTAACAGTTTCATCTGTATATATGCCTACTAGTAGAAAATCTCCAAGCTGTCTTGCACTCTTCAGAATCTGAGAATTCATTATAAAATTATTAATTATTAATTATTAATTTATTATCAAAGACAAAAAAAAAATCATTCATAATCATAAACAAGAGGCTGCATACCTCAACATGGCCAGCATGAAAAAGATCAAATGCTCCATCAATGTACACAACACGAGCATTCGGTCCAGGCCCCTGAATAGATAATAACAACATTTTAAAGATGAGAAGGGCATTTACGTCTTTTGTCCTGTAATAAACAATAACCATGTGGTAGTAGTAAGAAGAAAGTTGATTTAGGAAACATACTTTGCCATTTGAAAATTGCACAATTCTTCTTGATGTAGGCAAAAAGTTAGATGCATGTTTGGATTTGGAATGACTCTCTATGCTTCTTCTACTCATTTCATTACTTTCTCCATTAACTTCTTTATCTTCCATGGATGCAAGAATCCTTCCTGCATTTTGTAAGTAAAGATGTTAAAAAGCACAAAATGAATCCAAAAAGAACGAAGATCATGATACTTAAAGCAAGAAATAGCAATGTACTTTCTATGAAAGTAGATTGCTATTTCTTGATTTTCTTGATTTTCTTGATTTCTTGTATTTAGCTGTTTTCAGTTAGAAGGTAGTACCTACAATGTCTGTGCTTGAAACACCTTCTGTTCTTTTGATCTGTTTGTAACGATTAACTTTCTTTGCTAAAGCATATGCATCACTTCCATCAGGAAGGAGACAAGGATCATCTCCATGTATGATATAATCAATCTTATGCTCCTTAAAAAGACTGTTCATAAAGTCTTCAGTAATAGCATAAGGTGCATTAGCAATAACCTCATCAACCCACTTCAATCCGCTAACAAGTGCCAACCTTTAAGGGATTAAACACCATATCAAGATATGCATAATCTCTCTATTTTAGATGGGTATGATAGAAGTTGATGAGAGAGTAAAAGCATTAAGCATACCTTTCTTCCATGGATAAAACAGGAGGACCTTTGTTCTTTATGATTTCCTCATCACTTACAACTCCAACCACCAATTCATCTCCTAAAGCTTTGGCTTGTCTTAAAGCATTTGCATGACCATAATGCATAAGATCAAAACACCCATCCATGTAAACACGGATACGTTTCTTTCCGGATTTTTGCTTCTGGAGATTTCCTAAATAAGGTAACATGTATGGAATAGTAGGGAAACCACTTAGATAACTTGTGGAAAGACCAAGCAATGCAGCTGTTAACATTATGCCACCAAATAGATGTGGGTGGTAGTATAGCCCATCCCAGATGGAGTAGTTTGCCTGGTATTCCATTGTTGCTCCAAAGCTTTGGTTCCCAAGGGGGCTCTAGAGCCCTCTTTGATGATGTAGAAGAAGACACAAACCCTGCAAAACAAATGAGGAACCCAGTTTTTGTGAAGAATGTGGAAGAAACTACTGAATTTGTCATATTCATCACAGATATTTTCTTTTCAACCATGGGTGGTGTTTGATAGAAGAACTGAAGAAGTGTTCGAGCAAATGAGAGGTGCTTGGATGTGCGTCTAAAATGATTGTTGCATGTTAAAGCTTGTTTGGCAATTGGCACGATTTAAAATTTTGATTTTCTGATTATTTAGGTCAAAATAAACTCTAATCTAAAAAACGTAATCATTCACGAATTCATATAAAACAAAATGAATTACCAATCCTTCATATATACCCAAATTAATATCGGTTTTTAACCGAATTGAAGTAGAAATCCTCATTCCATGATGAAACGAAATTAAATGAAATTATCAGAACAAGATAACTGCGCCGAATCTAACAAGATCAACATGCGAAATGTGATGTTTTTCTGTCCAATTTTGATATGACGAGAGAAGACCTAATTTACAGTGATCGCAAGCTTAAGGGCTAAAACACAGAGCATACGAACCAAGTTATGATGCAAAAAACACAAAAACAGATCAGGAAAGGATACCGAATTATAATCTGGAATATTAAATGCAAAACAGGAATGAGATTCGAATTACGTTTGATTACCAAATCTGCGTATGATCTGGTTAAAATTAAGAGAAAGGTAGAGAGGGGAGGTTGGAATCCGAAGACAATGATTACCTTTTTGTGTTGGAATTCGTGCCTCCTCGTCTGTGTTTGTCCGTATGTTTCTGCTAGTTGTAGAAGTGGTGGAATTTGGAGTGTTTCTTTTCTTGCGTTGGTTGTATACTTGTATTGAAAATTTTATATCGTAAACAAGAAGAAGGAGAAGAAGAAAAGAAAATGAGGAGCTGGTGATGGAAGCAAAAAAAATAAAAAATATCACATGGGGCAGCGAGAAGAGACACGAGGGTTGTTTTGCTGGCCTCACAGTCCACTTGACCCAATATTACCATTACCAATAATATTATAATACAAAGTAGAAGCTTTTCTCCTTACGTTATGTTTTTTAAATTTTTTGGAAAGAAAGGATTTTCGGACTGGTTTTCTGCACCAACTAATCTCGTTGTAAACATAACGCTATTCCCTCATGTTTTAGAGTTACTACAAACGAACATTTATGATCACATGACTCAGTAATATTGGATTTGAACATGAGCCAATGAAAAATTACTATATGGATATTCAAAATGTTCTGAGAGAAAAAAAAAAAAAAAAAAAGACAAGTATCTATAATTTTCATGTTTTTTATTTTCAATTTTTCAATCGTTATATCGTCATAATAAGCATGGAAGTTGGAAGTATTGGGTTGATAGGCGAAAATCTGAATTTAATGAGGACATTTTCATCATTGCATATTGGTGCGTAAATTATTTATCTAAATAAGTTAGGGTTCTAAAGTTAATAATGTTTTATGTCATAAGGTACAAAAAACCGCATTGCACCACACTGCATAACGCGGTTAAGAACCTTCGCGGTGGGATTTACGGTTTGGAAAATCTTAAACCACATTATACAATGTGGTTTGCGGGATTGTGTCGGGTGTTTTGGGGAGCCTATTGGGAAAGTCGGAAGAATGAAGAGGAGGGCATATGTCTAGCTATGTGGAACACATGCATTAGGGGTAGATACATTGGACCAGGCTGAAAACCACTAGCGATCATCCCACGCTCTTATGATTCACAATCTGACGCGCCAAAAAAAACTCATGTGCGAACATCATGCCCAAACATTAAGCAATGACCTTTTTGTAACTTCAACATACATATTACAGAAAAAGTCTTATTAGCTCATAAACTTGGGATGTTTTATTTCTACGGATCAATGATACTTATAAAGACATTGCAAATCACCATGCGGCAAACTACATATTGTATTTTTGCATTATTAACCTGAGTACTTACTAAACAAATACATAATCAGTGGACAAACTCTACTACTAATATACTATTACACATCTACTCATATTATGACACAACTACTTGCATTATTACATTATTATACATCTTTAATGACAAGTTTCACAAATGATTTGACACATGATTGATGTGATGACTCGTTGTTCGTCCCTCCCTCAGGAGCGTCATTGATGATACATACATACATACATACATACATACATATATCATGTTATATCTAGGTGTTTTTATTAGTGTTTTGGTTGAAAAGAAGATAGTAGGTACGATTAAGATTGAAATTCACTTTTGTAGTTAGAAGACGTTGTTAGGAAAAAAAAACAGAAAGCAATGTAGAACAGTGGAGAACACAACGCGCCCGGAAGGATCATGCAACGTGTTGAGGAGTTTGAGTTCACGGTAGAATGTTGAAAATGTGACGCATCCATATGTCATACGCGACGTGTTTTAGGTCGATTATGAAAACTATAAATAGTCTTATCTTTGACCTGAAAAGTAGAGTAGTCGTTGTTCCTAGGCACTTTTAAACGACTAGAAGCGGTCAAAAGGAGATTTTAAGGCTAGAGAAATGATTTGAAGAATCAAGAATAGAATCATTTGGTTTTCATTTTGTTTGCTTTATCGATTATGATTAGCGTATATACTATGTTTTCCTTTTAATTGTTACTTCAAGTTATGATTTAAAATCCATTTAGTTTAACTTAGCGTAGATGAACCATGATGTTACAGTTTGGTTTCTATGATTTGGATTCTTTGGTAGTTATTTATTCTATCATGTTTGTTTGATCAAATATCCATATGTGTTAAAAAAAAAATTATGTTTATGGCATATTGCTGAATTAACATAGTTTTAGATAACCATTCTGATTATGTTTAGTGACGGATCAAATCTTAGGGTTAGGTTATAACGTAGTTAACTTTAATGTCTATGAACAACTTGTTGGGCTTTTATTCAAAAATTAGTTTAGAAAACTCAAGATTTAGCAAACGAAAGACTTAAAAGTTTGAATAACATAAAACTAGTTTAAACCTACCAAGGATCTTCTTACAAAGATTGGAAAGAAAAAACATCAACCATTGAAGGAAGAAAATAATAAACAGTCTTTATAGTCCTTTGAGTCCTCAAGGTGAGGCTTGAATGTTGATGTATAATGAAAGTAGAACTTCACCTTATATGGAAACACCACCAATAAGTCAACTTGATGAAGATGCTAGTCTTGTATATTTTTGTAATAAAAGAAACCTCTTAAGCTTTAAGTTAATACTCAAGTATTAACTCAAAGCGAGTTGCAAGTATCATTCATATTTCTAACAAGTTTTTAACCTTTTAATAGTTACAAAAAGAGTAGAGAGATGGAAGGTGATTCTCGGATTTTTCACTAGCCAAAAACAAGCCAAATGAAATTCATTTAATCAACTAAAGAATGGTATTTACCTATTGAGTCTTGGTGCTTAAAGACACCATGTCCGTAGAAACAAAAGGCTACAAAAACAAGAGCATGGCTTTATGAATCAGTTAATACAAGCATGTTGTCTCCTAGTTTTGTTGTCCCCTCTCACACTTACAGTGGAAAGAAAAAAAAAAGGAAAGAAGGATTTTATGAAAAAAAAAAAAAGCATTCTTTTTTAACTTATAAAGTCATATATATCCATATACGACAAAAACTTTTTTGGTCCAAAAAGATGTATAGGGCATAATAAATCATACATTATGACATATTATGATATGTCTTGATACTTAACATTGAATATTAATATTTCCATGAAATAAATAATTTCCAATTAAATACAAGAATTATATTTATTTATCAAGAATCAAATAATTATAAATAATATATTCATATCAAGTTGTTGATAGTGTGGCCCTTTAGGATTATATATTATCTAGTAATATTGTTCTATAAGGACTCTTGTCATGTAGATCTTTCACAAATGCATGTGATGACCATTCAATGTAGTTGATTGAGATCATGACTATTAAGATCAATATATTAAATCTAACATAATACGAACTTAAAGAATGATAATAAAGATACTTAATTACATGACAATGGATTAATGTCCTTATGATCATATGGTTAGAAAATCGGACCAAGACACCTAACCACAATAGTAATAAGTAGATAACAAGTCATATCCATTGTACTTTATAAAAATGACCCGTAATTGAAGGGGTAATTAAATCTAAGTGAAAGCACGTTTATTATTCATTGTTTCCAATTCTAATTTCTCAACGTTGTTTTATTTTAGATTGTTTTCTTGTTCCTTAGTTTAGTAATCAAATTTTTTCGTATATCATCATCAACTTCCCAATTCATACCGCCCCCATGTTTGTTCTTCCATTGGACTTTGACATGCTTGACCCTCTTCCTACGTAGCTGTTTAGTTTTGTGATCGAAGACTGCTACCGGTTTCTCCACCAAACGCTTTGACTCATTAACTCGTAGATCCTCCAACGGTAACATACTCGACCCTTCGCCAAAATTTTCCGAATATAACAGACATGGAACACATCATGTATCACATCTAACTCTAGTCGGCAACACCTAATCCGAGACAAATTTTTGAAACCACGATCTTGCACGCTTCCACGAGAAAATGGAAATTGGTGAATATCAAATCTACGACAATGTAAATGACAAATAATACAAACTAAGAGCAAGTTGCACCAACTTTAACGACATTTTCAACAACCTCACGAAAAAATTAGACATGAAAATTGCATAACAAGAGAAACAACAAATGAGTAACGATCTTAACATTTTAAACGCAATGCACTGATTAGATCATACGTCGAAAGACCTCTAGGGATGAGTAATTTTAATTTAGTTTTATCAACCTAATCTTAGTTTGTAGATTAATGTTGTAGTTTCTATTTAATTTTTTTTTATTAATGTAATTTTTATTTGTTTTATTAATGAAGTTCTTATTTTATTTTTGGAAATGGTATTTTTAATTTTGTATTAAAATAAACCAATAAAAATGATATAGACGACGTTGCGTGGTGGGTATTTTCTAATGTTTGTGATGTAGTAACGGGAATCTAGTGAAGTTAGTGGGTGGCACTTTTAGAGTAAACGTCTATTGGACCATATTAGATAGCCTAAAGAGACGGGGGACGATGTTCACGCCATGGCATGCTTCCACATCATCATCACGCCACATACCCATTAGCCTAATTTAGTTTGTTATTTGATTGTTTAATAACTTATTAGTCTGTTCTCTTAATAGTATGTATTTTATAATGTAGCTTGCTATTAAGGATATGTTTGGCGTACTAGCTGTTAGCTGAAAAGCTAGTTGTTAAATGAAAAGTTGGCTGATAGTTGAAAAGCTAGTTGATTTTAAATGTCGTTTGGTAAAATTGGCTAAAAAGCTAGCTGAAAAATATAAAACTGTATAAAAATGCATTTAAAAGAATGTGTTTTTATAATTAATCAAGGAGTATATTTGGAAAATTTTTAAAAAGCTCCTGAAAAACTAGTCTAAGTAACTTTTTAAAAAGTTAGCTTATAAGTTACTCTAGTCCGAATCAAGATGGCTCATCTCGATCTTGTGATGCATTCGGCCCAAAATTATCCAGATAGCTACCTTGACTTTGATATTAGTCAAGGGAAAGCTTATGAACGGTTCCGAAATGACACACTATTTCGTCTCATCCTTTCGCCCCGGATGGTAGGAATAAGATAAAGGAGGAGGACTTTTTGACTTCAACCGAGGAAGACTCGCACCTGCGTCTTTGTTTGAATCACTGACAGTTCGGGCAGGCCCGCAGGACTGGAATTCTGAAAAGAAGGAATGTCTGGCTTTTCCTATTCTAGTGCAGCGGTATAAATCGCTTCACTTTGAGTGGGCTTGGCCCGCGCCTTGACAAGGTTGTTGCCCCTCCTTCCACCCGTAGAGAGAGCCGGAGTTAGGCCTTTGGATTAGTTGATAGTAGGATCAATGATGTTTAGTTTAATTCAGGATCGACATGCCCCAAGTTTGAAGAATTC